TGTAAAATTTTTATTTATTCGGGTCACGTGTCTGGACACGATAACCCAAAATCATTGTACAAATAACCGAATCGTACCCAAACTGTCTTACTTATGCATTTTTCTATAAACAAAAATTTTATAAATTGAAACTGCAATAGTTTTCATCTTATGTGGATAATTCTTGTCGCAAATACATAGTTTCGTGCTTATATTTATGTATAAATATTTTTTAGCAACACCACATCTTTATCAGAAAATTCCGAGAATCCAAAAATTGGTACTGTTACAAGTTGCAGGCCATTATTTTAACTCGACCTCCTTCCTGTTCCATGGATAACGGTACATCTTTTAGAGGTTAAAAAATATTTTGCGTCAGCAATTTGTCGTCGAACTGCACGTATTACGTACCCTATCCTCGGAAAAGCAAAGAACTTTATTTTCGAATCTTTACTCAGGTGTACCGAATTCTGACAGTTTGGAAACGCGCAACACTTTTATTTAATATTTTCATCCAACTTCACTAACTTATTTGTTTTTTTACTTTTACAAGAATCAAAATTTTGTCTACTAGTGAATCTGGTGGCATGATTTTAGTTAAATGTCATAAAAGTTCGGCAACAACAACGAATGCTAATATATTAAACTACCTTCTGTGTTTGTATCATGTCGTTTTCTTTTCTCGAAATAATGTTGCTCTGTTCCTCAGACCTTTCACAACTTTGCGTGTTCATTTCTCAATATATTGCCCTCCGCCTAAGCAAAAGTGCCATGCTTTTTGCTAATATAGTCATTTTGCGGGACAAAAAGCAACCTACTGCAAATGTAACAATATTTATAAGAAGGTAAAATTGTTTAATAGAAAAGAAAATGCCATGAGTTTGTAATTTATCTCTGTTTTTATATTTAAGTAATACAAACATGAACATTTCCTTTGTTAAACAAAAATAAAGTGGTGTACAGCTTAGCTAGGAATAATCATTGTTAACCAAAAAAATTTAATGGATTTACTAGTATTTCTAATTGTAATTTATGTATTAAAAAAGTTAATTCTAGTTGAAACATTTAACCGTTTTTAGCCGTTTTTTTTGTCCAATCTAGCCGGTCACCCCAAAAAGTTCTGGCAACACTGCCCACCACGATCGTAGCCTCCAGCTCTTTGGTACTCGCGCTCTGCTACGCTTGGCTCTAGCTCACATAAATAAGTATGTATGTATTAGGGCGGGCCAAATTTTTTGCATCAAAGGCACATCGCGATTATGGTTATTTGGGTAATTTCAAGCATTTTTGCCCAAGAAACCATAGGTCTGAAATGAATTTCGAGCCAGCG